ATGGGCAAATTGGGGGCTTCTCGAATTGTTTTGATGAAGGGTTTGGTTGTTGAGTTTTCTATGATTTCTGTGTTGGGATACACTTTGTCGATCCTACTAGGCTCGATAATTAGTAGTCCCGACCGACTGGTGTTTGGCAAATGGATATTGCGTATACCCTGTTCTAGCGTTGTTTACTGTGTAAATAGGAGATCCCGTACGGGCTTTCTATTGGGATTAAAGGGAGTCTGGTACCTGTATTAAGTAGAGTAGTCGAATTGACATCCTTTTATCCCTCATGTTTGCATAAGCTTCCCTCTACCAATAAGTCCACAAACTGAGTAGTGGGTTATACATTTCAATAATTGGGAGTATATAAGAGGCATTAAAGGTAAAAAGTAGCCTAGATAGCTGGACAGATAGGTAGTAGTGAGTCTTTAGGGATCATATACCCGTATCATGCCTCTTGGGTGTAGGGCTTTTACCTGATACAAAATTTATACACACTGTCGACTCACCAGTTTTTTGCGCGCGCTAAAATTACTTGTATTGATTGTGTAAGAATTCACAGAAGAATTCACAGCAAAATTATGCGAAGGCCACGTGACTGTATAGAACTGAGCCAGATCGAGAAGGCAATTAATCATCAAAAGAACTCACTATGTTATTCTTCTATACTACTACGAGAGTCTGATTTAATACCTCTCTCTGTGATCCCTTGTCACCCCCAACTAGTGCATGAGGCTATTCTAGTACCTTCTTCAACTCCCCCCATATGCGCAATCAGCAAGTTCAATATCCCTGTTGTAGATCTGCATCTTGCCTATGAACTGCACCCCCGTATAATAAACTTACGTCTGCTTACAGATTGAGAGTTAATTTGCAGATTTTCAGCATTTGTCATCCCCTTTTCCTTTTCGCGCGCGCTTTGATTAGGCTTAGCAAATCATGTTCATTCATTTTATTTATGTGCGCGCTTCATGCTAGAGATTCTTGAGGTTGTAATTTTCAGGAGGTTGACATCCAAAACTGTTTTTTACTCAATTAGCTCAACTCAATTAAGACTGAAAGGCCAAGCAGAAATGATATGATAGATGATAAATGGTTTGCTTGTATATAAGCTAGTGAGATGAGATATGAAGAGGATAGACAATTCAATCCACTTCAAACTTTTTTTCAGTATCTCTGTGTCTGTGACGGAAACCAGGTTGGTAATGAATAAATCGATTTAATAAACTATTTAAGGAGAAAAGATAACTCTAGCTACTACTAACAGCTATATAAAAGAGGTGATCCTCCTGATTAATCTTCAGACTAGTGACTTGCCCTTATAAGCAATATGTTGAATTATAAGATTGTTGGTCAAACATAATCATTCCTGTGCCTGAACATAATGGAGTTATGGTTGTATTTATTACTTACTTAGGAGTATAGAGGGTAAGGCGTTTGAAGATCTTAGATACCCTGTATTAGTAGTTCCGTATTAGCGCATAGACGAGGCTGGCAGACACATATTAATAGGAGTATGGGCGCAGCATTGAAGGATGCTGCGATCGCGAGAATCATACACGATAGATTAACTCAATACTTTATCAATTCTACTTCCAGTACTTACGTACCACTCGTATACAAGAATCTCATTCTAATACAATACATCTTACCCAGTCACGTATTTGTAGGTGTCACTAAGTTGTAGTAACGCTTCGACCTCCGGACTAGTAGTAGCGTCTCGTTCAGCTTCATCTATCCCTCCGATACAGCCTTGACGTAAACATTCTCAACAATTTGCTTAGGTGAATACCTAAGCTCAAACAACGGTCAAACCATAACAGTGCCGTTCAATACATACACATATACATCATAATGTGGTCCTAGTGCAAGGGCCTCGCCTTGCAGGGGCTGCAGGTTTTTTAATACCTTTTCCTGCGCACGCACTTTGCATTGCTAGCATTTTGTGTATATTTCTTGGGGGGGTAGAAGGTTCCATTAAAATGGTGGCTTAATTTCACAGGTAAATACTGAGCTGAATGACTATTCATCAAGGGCAATATATCAATGATCTTTTAAGTAACAAAAGAAGATAGGAGCACTGTACAAGGTATGGCCTGGGCCAGAGAGGAACTCAACATGCTGGATAGTCTATGACTTAAGCAGTACAATAAACATACCTCTCTCTCTAAGACCTGAAAAAATCTGTTGCTTTTGTCTCTGAATTTAGAACATTGTAATAACAGGTGTTGCACCTGTTGAAGGTCTGTCGTTTAGTGATTGAGATAGGAGAGAGGTTTATGGGTCACGAGGTATGAAATAGCTGGGATGTGGATGTTTGAGTCACCTACTATTGTTGATTTTGATTTTGATTTTATTTAATCCGATTTGGCGCCCTGAGGGCCCATGCAGGCGGCCATGAACCCATCTATATATTTACATGAGGAGGAAACTATTACGATTTAAACCCCCTCCCCCTTTTAACTTTTGTATTCCTCTATAGTCTTTTGTTACTTGTTGGAAGTGCAATTGGCCATCAGTCCGAGACAGGATTCGCTAAAATGATACTGGACCTCGCTATCCTTTCCCTGCCCTCGCGTGCTCAAAAGAGACGACTGTGGTCTTGAGTTTGACCCCGATGGTCCAAACACTTGTGGTGGTGGGTTGACCAGGAGCTGTTTGCGCGGGCGTCCTGGCCCTCTCTCTTGTGCCTCTGGCTTTTGGTGGGACACCAGTGTGAACCCTTGGTCGTCTGTAGGTTTTGCCGTAGTTGTCGCTTCTCCTTTCCTTAATTCCGCCGTTCACTCCATCAGTTCATACCGTGCCCGTTGCACGCTGGCCTTGTATGACGCGAAGTTTTGACACGCACCCTTTTGCCACGATTTATGGTCCTTGCCGCAGTTGCAGCAAAGCACCGACTCCCTCGGGCAGTCCCTGGTCTAGTGAGTGCGCGGGCACTCACCACATCTCCTTGCCCTATTGCACGAGGCTTGAGTTTGCCCCCATTGACAGCAGTTGAAGCACTGCTTGATTTGCGCTCGGGGTAACCAGAACTGGGCCGTGTACAGCATTGAGTTGTATACAATGCCGTTTCTAATCACTTCGCGTTGAAGTGCCTCTGTCGGCAAACTCGCGACTATTGACCCTCTAGTACCCTGCTGTTGTTGGTGTAATAGTTAGGGCTGTTTGTTTCTCTATATACGAAAAGGGATTTCCCCATCTACAAGTGAGCCAGATCGCTTAGGTCTGGCCCGCGGCTTTCGCCATCCTGTTCCTTCTCCCCCGCATGGCATCACGTGCTATACAACTACTGCTCACCATGAAGTCCAAGAATGAAAAGCGTAAGATTACAATAGTACCTTCTGCCTTTCTTTCCCACGAAAATTGTAGATGTTAGCTTCAAATTTTCCTGTCATACGTAGATAGACCCGTGTATTTCTGATCACAAGCCTTGCCTGGGTGAATCCTGACTCCGTCTCCCTGCTAGGTCCTTGAAATTTGAAAACTAGTATTAATATTATTAACTTAATAACTCCTCCCTAAACACAAAATACTTCCGATACTCCAGATGATGTATTGATTAATAATTCATGTCAAAGCAATCTATCAGAATACTGTAGCGAATGAGAGGTTCGCTTAGCCGCTTGGATTTTTTTTTAAATCATTTAAGTGTATTCAGCTATCTAGCTATGACACATGACCGGTGCTGTGTATACATGTTGGATGACTCTTTTGAAGTTAGAGACAATCATACTCTGGATTTCATTCGCAAATACCACTATGAGGTATGCTTGCCTACACAAACAGTCGACCCTCCTCCGAAAGTACCCACCAAAGGGAATTTAAAAACCTTTGATTATCCAAGCATACCTTCGTCATCCATATATACCAGCGCCGCGAGAAATGTGGCTGTGTTTTGCTGGATTTGAACCAGCGATCTACTGTCTCAAGTGGGATAAGTGTCCAAGCTATCCAGACTCCACTTGGCAGACCGGCCAAGACAATGTACCACCGCACCATCCAGCCATGGCGATGTTTATAGTGTCGCCTGCACTCTCGCAACCGAAGACTTGGCACGCACATAGCTCAATCTGTAAAACTCATTGCCAAAATTCGAAATTTCACGCCCGCTGAGATTGTATCCATTCTTTGCACCATCTTGTGAACTTGTTCTGAGCCCTCTCACTTCCATCCCAAAGGACTATCTCCCATATTTGTGCGCCACACTTTGCTTCCTCCGTCGGGTGTGAATATCGGCGTGGGCGTGTATTTGATGACCAGCTAAGGCCAGAGAAAGTTGAAAAGAGGTGTGGTCATTGGGATGAGGATGTACTTGGTCGTACTTGTAGGCTTGATGAGACTTAGGTAGGAGTCTAACTCGTCAGGAGCGAAAAAACGACGTGGTGGAGTAAATTGAATCATTGCCTCGTGGGCCAACTTCTCTGATATTGCGAAATTTTACTGAACTTGGCTCTGGAAGAATATTTCACTCCCAGGTTTGTAGAGGACACCGCGTACAGGTGTTCAGTCTTGCCCTCCAGCCACCTGGATTGTGACCAAAGATTGCGAGGGGTTTATTTTCAATGTGGTCTTGAAACTCGGCGGCTCGCTTGGAATCGGAGTTCGGGATATTTTGTAGTTCGTGCCCGCAAACTTCATGAGGTTTTGGTCGGAGTCAATCTCGTTGGGAGGGAAACGTTGATCTGATCTAGTTTCTTGAATTATTGCCTCGTGGACCAAATTATTCGGTATGAGAAGATCTGAGTGAACTTGGCTTTGGAAGAATATTTCACTCTTTGGTCCATAGGAGGCACTACTGATAGATGAGTAATCTCCGTCTTTCGTGCCCCGCAACGTCGTACAAGACAAAGTCGTAAGTTAAAATCGCGCAGTCAGCCAAAAATCCAGCCTCGCATCCCAACGACAAAACGCAGTAAGTGTAATTCGTTAATTGCCCAATTTAAAATTTAAATCATCCAACTTATTTATTTTCTGCTCTTGTCACATAAAGTCAACGTATCGCAATCGAAAGGATGGCCATCCACACCATTACAAGGTTAGTAGACCTCTAGCCTAAAATTTAGCGACAAGCTAAGCTGTAGACTCCAAATAATGCTGTTGCTAATTTTAGGCTGTGACAACTAAGTCTAGATGAATACCACAAGCTTGCCAAGAGTCACGACAAGATTATAATTCGGTTCACGGAGGAGTGTAATGGTCCCTGTAAAACGATTGCCCCCCTCTATGAAAAGTGAGTTGAAACATCTTTATTTAAACATTTAAATGAATAGCTATAGATTCTAATGAAAATGCATTGTTTACAGGTTATCTGAGACACATAAAGATATCTTTTTCCTTAGTGTCAATGTGGACAAATGTAAGGACGTAGCAACTGAATTTAAGATCAACTCGATGCCAACATATTTTGCTGTTAAGACTAGAAAAATTGATAAAGTCTTGGTCGGAGCGAATTTTTACGGCTTAACTAAACTTGTTGCGAGCTTCAAATAATCTTGGGTCTGGTTTTGAACTAGTTTCTGTTGACCTTGCTCAGGATTAAAAGAGCGTCAAATTGCTTCAATACAACTCGTTAAATTTCAAAATTATTTCCCAAAAACGGGCAAAAGGATCTGACGTGATCGCAACTTAATTTAAACCATATGATGTCAAAGGTTAACAAAGCATAGTTAACCATATTTTGCTATCACAATTTTATTTGACCATTTTAAGTGTGATTTCTAGAGTCAAGACTCTGCCTATACATCGATATATTTAATTTTGAAGAGATTTAGCTGGTTATCAAAGAATTAAAGAAAGGTAAAATTCTTAAGAAAAGCGCTGTAACTACAACAACTGGCTATTTTAACTTCTACTTCAGCTTATGCAGTCCGTGGTTTGTTGATGATTCTGTTAAATTACTTTCTACTATCTCTCGTTATCCAACTTAGCCCCTCTGATTCTGCCCTCTTCTAACTCGAACTCCTAAACAGCTTCACATTAGCGTGACACAGCGCAGCTGAAGCGCCCGGGATAAGACACGGTTAAAGACTTTTCATTTATGGCCGAGACTGTCCATTAATCTTCAACTAGTCACAACTATTTTAACACCGTACTATTGAGATAAATCCCTTAAATAACACTTGCGACTGAAGAATGGTTTAAAGCGTTTTTCGATGAATGGGATGTTTATCAGAATTGATACACAATATTTTAGATGTTACAGTATATCCAGCTATTCTCTATGCGCTAAGTTGTGATAAGGAAAACAGAGATCGAGGGTCTCAAAGCTTCAAAAGCTAATCTACGGCTAAAAAGAGACGGCTAAGAATGTGTCATATTGTTGGAAAATTGGTATGGGTTCGATGAGTAAGGCGGCTCAAAGAATATGGGCGCGATTTTATGAATAGAATAATAATGATATGAATCGGGAGAATATCTGATATAATGTGGAGAAATAAAAGATTGGTTGAATGAATTGAATTGATTAGATTATCTGTCTTGGTGATTCCTAGACAGCTTATATACATGTAATCTTGATAGACCAAATCCAGAATAGATATCATCCATCACTCGTTCCATACTCTAACATTGACAATGAAACGCACGACAGTTTATAACATGAGTATGGGGTCAGGGTCGGTGATTGAAAGCCTACACGTGTATCAGACCATACCATGCACTAGTCGAGTCTCAAGCATCAAATATGCTCAGTAAGGGAGATATCAATCATCTAGGTCGTGAGTCAGGCCGTGAGTCATGTGTGAGAATCTTAGTTGTTCCAATCATGGGAAAATTCAGACACATAGAGTCTGAATTTCCAACACATATTCTACATCAATTGGAATAATGATTGGAGAAACAGGTCTTTGACTAGCTACTTCAACATTAAATAACCGTCAGGGGTTATATTAACATCAAACAGTGCCCTGAACTAATTGTTACTTGTTATTATTATTTTATCGACTTTAAAGTTGTTGTCGACTTTGTTGATGTATGTCTGTTATCACAGACATTGGAAATAATTCATGAGATTGCTTAATGAGAGGCTAGATTTGATTCCGATATAATATTGTAGAAGACTTGTCCCAATTATCAGAGGGCTACAACGTCTTTATCTATCTACGGGTAAACTTCCCATATTCCCGGGGGACTATTCTCAACACCTGTCAGTGGTGTCCCCTACGAACCTCCAGCTCTCACCGTAGAGTCTACAGAGCCGAGATTGAGTAACACCTTACCAACTTTGACCTGGGTTATCTCCCCCCCCGTCAAAGTTACGCTTCCGATAACACATAAGACGACAAAGACGACGATAATGATGCTGGGAATGAGGAGAGATAATGCGGTACCAAATGCTACAACGGTAGTCAGAGAAACCCTCGTTATATCACAACATGTGCTACCCACCGGCGGGCGAACAAAAAGCCCACGAAAGCAAAGTAAAAGACCCTTCCGCCCTCAAGAAAAGCAGTTTTCGACTCGTCAAAAATATCGTCCCTACTCATCTTAACTTCCGAATCTACTAGCCAGGAGGGCATCTGAAATACATGAGTTACTCGACGACCCCACGTCCGTAACAACTTTTGGATGCTAGGCTAGGCTCCTTCACGACTGTCACTCTCGACCAAGATTTTTCTGACATCCTTTCACGACCTACGATTTGTCCTGCGGCATGAATCAGGGGAGGGGTGAGGAGGAGGCTAGGAAGGTTGAGAGACGCTCTTAGGTATACACAGGTCTGCTGCGCCCGGCTGGCTGGCCTCTTCGTCATAGGAGAGCCCCGCACCCAATGGTTTTTGAGACTTTTCCCTGCAGCTACACACCCGCAAATGGCCATCGTTTTGTTGGCTGGAGAGGGGAGATAATGACGGGATAACGGCTCCTCTTAGTGTGTACTCGAATGAAGACCTGTGGGGGTATTGCTGCTGGAAAGAAGTCGTGAGGGAGGCAAAGGAGTGAGTACACTACCCGAGGCATAGATACTCCCGGCCTGTAGGCAGAAAGGACCTTCATGTCCTTACATAGTTATAGACTTTTTAGGACAATTAACACTCACTCACTCCCCATATTCCAACCACGCCAGCCATACAGGACGTAGCATATAAAACTTGATTTGTCTCATCATTTTGGGGTTGAGGTTTACCATGCATATGCTACTCGATTCGCATGTCTGACAACTATGCGACACGCTCAGGTTTAAACTTAACAATCCACACCAAAACCGAAACTACTCACAACCCTGATGATGACCCCATGAATAACTAGAACAGTAGCCTACAACATAGCACGATTAGGCAAGACATCGTTGATCAGGACCTAATCCGAATATTATTTCATAGAACTACTACTGGGTGGTTTTACGATCGATCGTAAAGATTCAGCAATGAGTTGTACGATTCTGTGATGGTCTAAATGTTCATAATGTCTTGTCTTCATCACTATTCAGGATTCACAGCTATACTATGGATCCGGAATTGGATGGTGCAGCGGTACACCATTCGGGCCGTTCTCCCAAGTAGACACTGGTTAGCTTGAAAACCTACTCCATTTGAGATATGAGAAAGCTGGTTTGGATCCAGTAAGACCCACATGCCACACTCTCTCGCGGTGATAATTTACTTGTGGGATAATGAAAGCACACTCGGATAGCAACAAGGTTTTCACGCTTTTCCCTGTGGTGGGTATGCACGGAAGAGGTTAGACGCCGTAAGGGCTAACCTCGAGTGGTATCTTCAAATGAAGTCTGAGTGTGAGTGTTCTAAACTTCAAATTAAATCACCCTACTTAAAGTACAAACTTCATTAAGGAAATAATGACCCCCCAGTCATTAAGGTTGTAGAGCACATAGATTCAAGTAACCAACAAAGTGAAAGTAATTACATTATTTATAATCATGTGTGTATCAACTATCGAAAGGCTGAGGGCGATGGATAGGGAGACGTCACCTTGTGAATGGAATACTGATAGGTATGGGAGAATTCAATAGATCACTTGGACAGAGTAAGATGATTGATTGATGGTGCATCGTATTTGTGGATGATGGATGTAGATACTGAGAGTAAAAAGGCCCTATCTATATACAGGATTTCCTACACTTATTCCTCTACATGTTATTGTCTATGATAGCTAGAGTAACTACAATGGTGTGTCACGGATCAAGGAACAGGCGCTGGTGCAACTATGTTTGTTTGTTTGTTTTTTTTTTTTTTTTTTATATAAATTTTAGGTCCTAAGCTATGCTCTATATCTCCTAGGAGTCAAGGACCGGTGTACACGGCCAAGATCATGCTTCCCACATGCCCGACTCGGTCCCACTGCGTGACCCACTACACAACCAGTAGCTAGTTATAAGAAAGAATTTAAATGCTCCCACAGACTCCCATAACCAAAATTCCAAATCCAATACTGCAATTTGAGGTGGGAAAGCGACACTCCTCGTCTCGTTTTCCTTCCTGTCATGCTTCGTGCTATGACCTAGTTAATGTTGTCTCCGCTGAGAGCTGGTGACGGACTTGCAGGTGAGTTGCCGAAGCAGCCGGTTTCCTGCGCAAATTTTGTAAAATCCTCAAGGCACTTAGGCCCGAGAAGCTTTTGGACAAAGTCGTGATGTGACATTGTCCCTCGGAGTCGACGCGTCTGACGTTCGTGCAGTCGACAGTGAATGAAGTGGAGAGGTGATGTTTCCTCTCCACACGCACACTCCATAGAAGCGGTGAAGTTGTTGAAACGACGGTGACATGCCGCGAAGTTTCCGTGGCCCGTACGGGCAGAGATCAGTTCACGGAGTAACCGCCGAGAAAGTACCTGCTCCTGTGGCTTGCGTCGTCGCATGAGTAGACCAAGATTTCGATACCTAGGTGGACATGCTTCCGCCCACCATTCCTCGAGAAGAACTTGACGTTTCTGGTTCATCAAACGACGAACGTACGCCAAAGTGACGGAGCCAGGCTGGCTCTCTTTAATTGGAAGTTGTTGGAGGCCGGAGCGTGCAACTCTATCAGCCTCTTCGTTTCCCTGTATCCCGGAGTGGGCTGGTATCCACTGAACCGAGACTCGAGCCTTTTCTGATAGCGCCCTAAATTGGCGTACATCGTCGAGACTTTTTGTGGCGGTTCCTGTCAGCAGTGCCTTCACTGCAGACTGACTATCCGTCAACACGTTGATCCACTGCCTGCCGTTACTTCTCCCGTTCTCTCTCTCCAACAATCCTAGCGCAGCTTCCAGGACCTTCCTCGCCCCTAGTATTTCCGCATCGAGCACTTCACCACCATGCTTGATACCACATCCCTTCAACAGAGTCTTTCCATCCCTCTTCAAGACGAACCCCCATGCTGAGCGACCATGCCCCTCCGACGATCCATCCGGGTAGGCACAGATATCCGATGGCAATACACCTCTAAGGAACCGAGTTACCTTGTCCTCCTCTTCTGTCCTTGGGCCGAAGTTCGACAGATAGCATAGCGGCGGCAGAGGCTTAGCGTCTTCCGCGTCCGGGAGTTGTCGAAAGGCCC